AACTTGAACAGATTTTTCAAATTAGCCATTGCTGGGCTAGGTCTACAGCCCACGGGCAAGAATTTAGAATCTTCTCTTCTGAAGACCTGACATAAAACTTTAGAAGAAAATTCTATGCTTTAACCACCTAGAATAATGACGGATACAAAATGAACTCATATTTCTATCTTCTTTGGAAGCCCACCAGAACGGCTATTGAGGTACACCAGTCTGGCTGTGTTTCAGTTGCAGCAGAGGTTGCTAGTCCAGTGGTCACTCTGGGTAGCACACCTGGAAGATGCCGTCGTCATTGCTAACATTCATAATCCTGCTGTCATCACAGTACAGACTGCATCCTGTTTTCCCCACAAGCCTCTTCCAGTATTGACTTCTCTGTCTATTCATCAATGTGCCCTTCTAATTAGTAAGTGCTCTCTCATGAACTTTTTCTCTCCCCATCTGCCTCTACTTCTCATGAAATTCTTTTACTGTATTTGGTCTAGTTTTGGGACCACAGCCAATGAATTACCACTTAGCTCTACCTCTTAGCTCTGAACTGTTAGCTCTAACAGTTCATCTTCCCTTCTCTTTCTTTCATTTTGCCTGCTTTTCTGAATCTGTTTTTTTTTTCTCACTGAATAAGGGATATCTCTTATAGAAGTAACTATGGTACAGAGGAAAATCCAGAAAAAAAGGAGCACAATAGCTTTCAAATATAGCTTATATGGTCAGATATACTTAAGACATTTCTTTAGCCTACAGGGCAGAAGGTACCCAGATAATGTTTCCATAAAATATGTTCTTTAGCTTTCCAGACCCATGCTGAAGAATCTGAGGAATCAACATTTGATTTTTTTCCATTCATGGGAAAAGTTAATAATACCTTAGTACACCATTTAGATAAATTCCTTCTTCCAAAATTGCACTGGATTTAGTAATAATTGGGTATAAATCCAAAATGGTAGGAGTTAGGATAGCAATAATGCCTCAGAATGTTGATGAGGGGGAAATTGTTGCCAAATCTACAGCTTTACTTTTTTCCCCTATGTCAAACAGATTTTTTTCTCAGTTTGGAAGCTTGGATTTCTGAGATGATATTTAGCTGTTTTTGAAGAGTAACCTAACCTATTCCTACTCCACCTGATCTTTACTGCAAGGCCCATAGAGAAATTTTCTTTGGTGAATCATCTTTTAATTTTTTCATACATAGAAATACCTATAAAATTTATTGTATTAAACATACAGAATGGTAATGAGTTACCTTTTAGACAAAATTCAGACAGGTTTAAGAGAATGATAAAACAATACTTTTCCAAAGGACCCCTACACTACTAAGTTGGGAAAGTGGAGAACCAGAGAAGCTAGTAGGTTTTATTTGCAACCATACTGAATTCTTTTTCCAGATTTACAAAGAGAAAACTTAATTGTCGGTGGAGGTCTGGTGAGGGCGCAGTCCGGAGTGCCAAGAGGAAAGAATCCATTTGCTTACGTGACAGCCTTTGTTCTCCTTGCCACAGCAACCCCTCTGGGCCCATTCCACAGCCAGCCTTACTCCTTCAAATGCAGAAAGGAGACTTGGGAGATTCTGCTCCCAATTAGCTCTTTCTGAGCAGGTCACGAGCACCCTGACTGGCTACAATCACTGTCTCGCGTTCTGGGTATCGAATGTCCTCCGCATTCCAGCCTACCGTTATCTATCACCTCAGAGATCTGACAGGTGGCCTCAGTGGGCTGGGTGCCTTAGGAAAATTGCGTATAGGTCAACCTTGCTTTATAGAAAATATATTTTCCTAAAAAGTTCTGTGCAAACATATGGGTTCAATCAATACAATATAATTATATAGGTACTGGGTAGCCTGTTTAAAGAATCATGTGACGGATTTTTTTATAAAGTAGAAAAATTACCTTTCAACATATTCTTTATATAAATTTACATTTTCATGAATTACAAGTTCATGTGAAAACACCTGTCCCTGTTCATTTCTGTAGAGAATATATGACACTGGTAAACTTCCACTTCTTCTGGCTTGATTTC